TTTCCTGACTTAAGTTTGTTTGAGGACAAACAAAAAGGTAAGTAGAGGGGAGTTGATAACACCGTATTTTGACCACTTTTATGGATCATAATTGTATCTTATGCAGGTTTTTTAACTCTGTTTTCAAAGGTTTTTAAAGTGTTTTCAATGTTTTAGAGTTTCAAAATACTTTACAGGAAACTTGGGCAAAAGATATGCAATTTGGAACAAATGAGCAATTTTGGATAAATGCAGACCGTCAGAAGTATGACAAGCGATGAAGACTTTCTCACCGTCTGATCACCCCCAAAATTTGAGACAACATAGAGGATCCAACCAGCTTTCTAATGCACTTGGTTTGGAGACAATCCAACGGTTAGATCTTCAGATACTCCCGATGCAAGAATGACAGAAAATGCAGTTCCGGAAGAGAGCAGGTGCCGGTACCGCGGCCAACACCCATTTTCCCGCGGGTAGAGCCACCGCGACCGCGAACTTTGGTCGTTCACTTTTCCGACGACTTAATTAAAGCCCAGATCAATTCCCTTCGTTATTTTTGAAGCCCTAAGTGTCCAGAACCACCCCAGAAGCTATAAATGCCCCCTTTAGGTCATTCCTAAAGGTGTAGAGAAGACATAAGGTAAAAATAGAGAGAGAATTCGTGGGGGTGCTTCACAAACCCTAGAGAAGCCGCCGCTTGAAGGAGGAGCCGCCGCCGAGGAGAGCATCATCGCGCCTCCGTCGTCGCTTCCGTTCTTCGTTCTTCTTCCTTCTTTTCTTTAATTTTCTGCAACTTTCAATACTCTATGATGATTGTTTACAATATGTTTGAGTAGTTACCCAGTTGGGTTTAAAGGGATTATTCAAAGGGAATTTCATGTGTCTTTGCTTATGAATCGATAGATTTAGGATTTATAATCTTCTAGATGTTCTTTGTTTGCCTTTAATCTTACTGCGTGATTCTTTGCTGGCCACTTAGAAGCCGATCTGATATGATATGTTGCGAAAGCTTTCATTGATTGTCTGAACTAGGGTGAAACGAGCAATTCTTCTATAGGAGTGGAAACCTACCTGTAGTCTTGTTCTGCTATTGCATCTTCTCCCTTCCAGAATCAGAGTGGAAACCTACTGATTAGGGTTGCGAGAGATAATTGTTTAGTGCTGCGAAAGTAGGCTATTCATACTTTTGTGCCTCGAGTTCTAGAACATACGTAGTTGATAACCTTTATCACTTGTTTAAAATCGACCTAGCATAGACTATGAACCCCTGCGAAAACCCCTTGAGCCCCAACGTTTGTCTTTAATCGTTTACAACCTTCAATTTAGTTTGCTTTTCATTCGCTTATTACCTGTTTACATTCGCTTTTGTTTAATCGATTTTACTTGCTTTGATTTGCCTTCATTTTCAATCGCTATTTACTTGTTTCCATTTGCCTTAGTTAATCGCTTTTTATTTGCTTTAGTTGCTTTCGTTTTTATTTGCTTTTACTTGCTTAGCTTTCTAGTTTAGATTTAGTGACAACCAAAAACCCAAAACCAAAACCAAAACCCTTTTAGTTCTAATCTGATTTAAGCGTTGCAGTGAATTCGTACTGAAACAACTAAGTCTCTGTGGATCGATACCCTAAGTACTACAGCGCACATCTGTGCACTTGCAGACATTTAGGGGTTATAAATTTAAAACCTGAAGCTTAGTAAAACGAAAAAACAACCAACCCCGTTTACAACTCGCATCAGCTTGCAGCAGGAGATTCCGCTCAGAAGACGGAATCTTATCAGCGATTTCCAAGGAGAGGGGAATCAACAAAACACTACGGCACGATCGGTGGTCCAGCAGTTCGAAAGCCCAGCCCCCTAATCGAACACCCCAGTCAGAACGCGTGACCTAGAATTTGAGCGGATGCAAGCTCAACTGTGTGACATTAGCTCGAAGTTCCATCAGGCAACCAGTTCGGCCCAAGAAATCGACCGAGTAATCCAAGAACTGCAGAAAACGCCATTCACCTCCTGAATTACCGAATTGACCCCTTAATTTGAAAACCACAATCAACAATTGGCGCCGTCCAAGAGGGAGTAGGATCTTGAGCTTCGTCTCATCCCAACCCGATGATGTCGACAGGAGCATCGTCGTCATCATCACCAGAAAAATTCATCAAAGGGCTGTCTGACACGTCGAGCCTCATCCCCTTTTTCTTCGGCAAAGTTTTCTTCTGAGCTTTCTTCGGTTTGTTGGGTCCAACCCAAGCTTCAGTCTCTCCAGAAGTGGCACTGAGAATTTAGCAAGACCACAAGAAAAATAGACGAGGTGAATCGAGGTCGGAAAAACACTTACTCTTCACCAAAGCCCTCTTTATCTTTCGATCGATCCGCGCTTGAGAAGCGTGAGGCCAACGCCGTTCTCCGGCCTCGCTAAGTTTCTTTCCGAGATCTTCTTTGGGTGAGCGTTGTATGAAGCCTGGAACGTGGTGATCTGCAAAACAAGGATAAAGGTCAGCCTTCACAAAAACAAGTATAGAAGATTAACTAGGGAATATCTACCAGTCCGGAACGTGGTCCCCGGGTTTACGGCAGAATGAGAATCAACACGGAGGAAAAAATAACTCCTATCCCAATCCGAGAATTTGTTCGCCTTGTTGCCAGTCACCAAATCGAACACCAGATTGGCACACGTCGATAGATACCAATACTTAGGCTGAACAACCTTCATGATGAAAAGTTCTTCAAACTGGGCAACGTTGATCCTAGTTCGACAATAGTAGCCGGCTTCAACTGGGATATCACACAACCGTGACAGTTTCAATAGGCAAAAAGCAGGCGACACAATGGAAAAGTAAGACCGACCTTGCGGAAATAAGCTTCATAGACACATATATAGCCCTCCGGAGCATCCCATGGGCATTTGTCTGGTTTGGGGACCTGAACATTGATGTGAGAAGGAGCCCTGCAAATCAATATCGCGCCTCGAATCGTCTCGAGATCCGACAGTGTAGGACCCAGATCGGTACATACAATCGGCCGACCCACAATCGGCATCATATCATCATCATCCGGGTCATGGCCATCACCGTGGGCAAACTCTTCCAAGAGAGCATCCTCATCAGTTTTCACATCGAAGTCCGGCCCGGCCTCCGGGTCAATAGGGATTGACCCTTAGGATCGCGGAGGTCCTGATCCATTAGTTCGGGCTCCCGAATTGGTGATCTGCGACTAGTCGACCCGACCTCAACTACTCAAGAAATCTTCCGAACTAAAGAGGCGTTCGAAGAATTCTCCGCAGTAGCCAAACTCGACGACTCAGCTGAGATAGTAGGACGGCGATCTTCAGTCAGACGATGTACCGGGAGTTGAAAGAAGATTTAAAAGACATGGTCGGAGCGCTGTCAGGAGCTTAACTGTTGACAGGAGAGTACGGCGGATGGTCACCGGATAACCTAGAAAGAGAAAGAAAGAATCTAGAGAGAACGGAGAGCGAATACCTTTAGTAACGAGAGCAGAAATGAGTAAATGGCAAGAACTGCCTCCTATTTATAGAAGGAGATGCAATCATTACGGCTTTTTGGTTTTTACGCCCCTTGTCGGTTCCAGAGAATTTGATTTCCCGCAAAAACCGATGCGACTCTTCGACTTCCGACTTATGAAAACCCAGAAATAGCCCTCCGAGCATGGAAGACGAAAAGACACTTGGATAAGAGAAGATTAACTTCGGCCGACCTCAATCTCCACTAGACTAATTTAATCAATCCGTCAAAATTCAGCCGAGCTCATTTGCCAAACAGGGGGGGGGGACATATTGTTGGTGGTATGCTCCGCAATCCAGTATAAACCGAGATTGGTCATATTAAACTCGGTTAACAATGGTCTATTCTGGAATGGGCCCGGCCTGATCTGACGGTCCATCGGCGATGAGGCCCAATAACGAGAGTCGGTGGGATAAGAAGGTAAAAACCCTAAGATACATAATAATTAATGTACTATAAATATGGGGTCCTGTTACTGTTCAAGGGGCTGGACACTTCCCCGAGGAATAGAGAGCTAGAAAAATCTTGTACGCTTTTAGTTCGTCGAGAGACCTCCGAACTCGAATACTTGTAACCTGAACTCAATATACTAATAAAAAAACTCATTACGAACTCGAATTACCGAATTGAACCTTTAAGTTGAAAACCACAATCAACAGTATTTAGTGATCCATGTTGAATACAAGTTTAGATCAGGCTAATGATCGATACTTTATAATATGGTCAAGGGAATGATCTAATAATAAGGTCACAGTTAAAACATCCGGTCGGAAGATACAGAAGTAATAGAGGATTAGAGTTTAGCTAGCTAAATAAATGAAATATCTTAGCTTTGTGAGCCAGACAATACCTAACTAATAAATGAAATGTCTTACTCTCCGTGTAAGTGGGACCAGCGTTTATGGTCAGCCGCGTGTTAGATGATCATGTGTGCAATGAAAATTTAAGTAACCGCATAAGCACTTATATACTATATCAAAATACAATATCATGATCATATAGTTAGGACGAACGGTTTTGGAAAGAGAATCTTGCCCATATCTTAGAAAGAGCAGCGGTTAATGGCAAAACAGACAATTTTCATGCCAAAGATATATTGTCGTTAGGAGAACATCATATTTATACCCGAACTAAGCCCAAATAAACTTTGCTACCATGCGTAAACTCCTTCTAAGTCAAAGTTTAATATGATTAGTATGACAGTTATGCATATGAATGGATTGATGTATACGAAAGGCACTTGATCGAGTATAATGTATCTTGAACAGAAGTTGAGACCGAATGCTTTCGGTTAAGGCTCACTATTAGGGATATATTGAATAGATTTGTAAATATTCCTTTTCTCATAAGTTTCCTTATTCTGTATGGTAGACTAGGGTTCTCTCACGCTTGTATATATAGCATCCAATGTATCTAATAAAGGGCAAGCCGTTCTGTTCCAATCTTTACATGGTATCAGAGCAGAACAAAGAAATCAAAGTCTAAAAAAGTTTGCAGGTTTCAATGGCGAAAGACAAAGAGGTGTCGACCTCCGTGGTGGAGAAGGGGAAAGAGTACTCCATCACTTCGCCGCTGTACTTGCATCCATCTGAAGGACCGGGAACTCTGATTACTACGGTTCAATTGAAAGGAGACAACTACGAGGACTGGGCTAAGCATGTGCGGAATGCCTTGCGAACAAAGAGGAAGATTGGGTTCGTAGATGGAACCTTTCAGAAGCCCACAGACACAACGGATCTGGAACAATGGGTGGTCGTTAATTCCATGATCGTAGCATGGATCATGAATATGATAGAACCAACTGTGAGAATGAATATCTCACTGGTGGATAAGGCGAGTATCTTGTGGGAAGATTTGAAGCTACACTTTTCAGTAGGAAACGGACCTCGAATCCATGAATTGAAGGCAGATTTGGCTAACTGCAAACAACAAGGAGACAGCGTCATGGCGTACTATGGAAGACTTAAGAAGATGTGGGATGAGTTGGCGGTTTATGAACCACTCTTGTCGTGTTCGTGTGGAGAGCTTGCGACTAAATTGGAAGAGGCTCGGGATAACGAACACACCCACCAGTTTCTGATGGGATTAGACGATGTGATTTTTGGAGGAATTCGATCGACTCTGACCAATATGGAGCCGTTGCTCAAATTGTCTCAGGTGTATCAGCGCGTGGTGCGTGACGAAAGACAACAAAACATCACTCGCAGCAAAGAAGACCGAGGTGAAGTAGTCGGTTTTTCTGCTCAGACCGGGAACAAGAGTACATGTACTCATTGCGGGAAATATGGGCATGACGTGTCTGATTGTTATCAGATCAAAGGCTATCCCGAACATTGGGGAGAACGAGGAAGAACAAGTGGATACAGAGGGGGTCGCGGTCGTTACGGCCGAGGCGGAGGCGCTTTAGGAAGTAACTCTGGCAGGGGAAGAGGACAAAGTTCTGCGCGATCCAACGTTGTGCAAGTCGAAGCACACTCGGCACAAGTTCAGCAAGTTGCGAATTCAGCAACAACAACGCGTCGCGATGGTGGTTATGACAGAGCGTCTCTGCCGCAGTTGAACGACGATCAGTGGACAGCTCTGATCGGTTTTCTGAACCAGCAGAAGACAGCAGAGACGGGTACCAAACTCTCCGGTAAGACTGAACTTATAATTGATTCCGGTGCCTCTCACCATATGACATCGAACATGGCATTTCTGAGCGACGTAACAGATATTGCACCATGCTCGAATCGTCTGCCTGATGGCGATCGTGCCTTGGCTCAGAAATAGGGCCGTATGTGTCTTGGCGGTCACATATGGTTGAACGATGTCTTGTTCTCTCCCGAACTGACTTGTACTCTTGTTTCTGTGGCAAAATTGCTTAAGACTACAAAAGGATCAATGACATTCATTGAGGATTTGTGTGTTTTGCAGGACCGTACCTCGAAGATGATGATTGGTGCGGGTGAAGAGTGCGAGGGGGTGTACAAGTTCAGAGGAATCTTCGGTGGACAGGCTAATAAAGTGACGAGCAGTGTTCAATGAGGGTTGTGGCATAGACGCTTAGGACACCCTTCTAGTCGAGTTTTATCTTATTTGCCTAGTAGTTTGGATATTGGTAAACCCGTTGAAACAGACGGTAGTTGTGATATTTGTTATCGAGCTAAACAAACTCGGGATTCTTTTTCTGAAAGCAGTAATAAAGCAGTTGGTGTTTTTGATTTAATCCATTGTGATGTCTGGGGAGCTTATCGAACTCCATCCACTTCTGGTGCTGTTTATTTTCTTACCATCGTAGATGACCATTCACGAGCGGTCTGGATCTATTTGTTGCTTGTAAAACGTGAAGTGGCTGTCTGTTTAAAGAAATTCTTTGCTATGGTCACTCGCCAATTCGATAAGAAAGTAAGGGTGGTCCGATCTGACAACGGCACAGAGTATATGTGTTTGCGAAGTTACTTTGAGGAACAGGGAATCTTGCATCAGACCTCGTGTGTTGCTACACCACAGCAAAACGCTTGAGTGGAAAGAAAGCATCGCCACATTCTTAATGTAGCTCGGTCGTTGATGTTTCAGGCTTCACTTCCGGTTAAGTTCTAGGGAGAATGTATACTTGCGGCCGGCCACTTGATCAATCGGACGCCTACACCACTTTTACAAGGCAAGACTCCGTATGAAATTTTGTATGGGAAAGAACCATCTTTCCAGAGTTTGCGAGTATTCGGATGTTTGGGGTATGCACACAAATCGTCTAGAGACAAAGATAAGCTTGGTGAAAGGAGTCGAAAGTGTGTTTTTCTGGGGTATCCTTATGGCAAAAAGGGATGGACGATGTACGATCTAGAAACGCAACAGTCCTTTGTGTCGCGTGATGTGAGTTTCAGGAGACAGAGTTCCCTTTTGCTACTCGGTCTACTGAAACTCGCGCTCCAGTTTTGTCTCAACCTGATGCGACTCTATTTCATGATGATGATTTCTTGGAAACTGAAGAAAGGGGGAGTTCGCCAGATCATACGGAGAACTCACCATCGAGAGGGATCTCCGACGTCAGGGGGAGCAATGACGCAGATGTCGCAGTTTTGCCTGCAACGGATGATCAACCGTTGAACACAGTCGCTGAATCGAGTGAAACAGAGCTTGGTCGTGGCAAACGACAGAAAATTAAGAGTACACGCCTTCAGAACTTTGAAGTTTACGCCACGACCTGCACTTCAACACCCTCGCTCGCTCCCGCATCAGCCACATCTTCACGCAAAGGTACGGTCACCTATCCCATTGCTAATTATGTAACGTGTGATCGTTTCTCTGCAAATCACACAACGTTTCTGGCTGCCATCACTGCTGGATTCGAACCGGAGACATATAATGAAGCGATGCAGCTCCAAGTTTGGCGGGATGCGGTGGATTTTGAAGTCAAGGCACTCGAAAAACAACATACATGGGACGTCCAAGAGCTTCCACCAGGAAAGACGGCTATTGGATGTCGGTTTGTGTTCAAAATCAAATACAACTCGGATGGTACAATTGAGCGTCATAAAGCTCGTTTGGTGGTGATGGGAAATCGCCAGAAAGAAGGCAAAGATTATAAGGAAACATTCGCACCAGTTGTAAAGTTAACCACAGTTCGCATGTTCCTTAAGGTAGCAGCGGTTAAGAATTGGATTGTGCATCAAATGGATGTGCACAACGCTTTTCTTCACGGCGACTTAGAAGAGGAGGTGTATATGAAGTTGCCCCCTGGGTTTAAAGCAGATGGTCCGAACAAAGTCTGCAAATTACGCAAATCGCTCTACGGCCTAAAGCAAGCCCCACGATGCTGGTTTTCGAAATTGACGAAAGCACTACTCGGTTATGGCTTTGTTCAATCTTATGCAGATTATTCCTTGTTCACCTTACACCGTGGAGAACTTCGGCTTTATGTCATCATATATGATGATGATTTGCTTATTGGTGGGAATGACGAAGAAGCGGTTATTAAATTCAAGGGATATCTAAATCAATGCTTCCACATGAAAGATTTAGGATCTCTCAAGTATTTTTTGGGTATTGAGGTATCGAGGTCTTCAAAGGGAATTTATCTGTCACAGAGGAAATATGCAATGGACATCATCAATGAAACTGGTTTGCTGGGTGGAAGACCGGTTTATACACCAATCGAACAGAATCACAAATTGGAAGAAGACAAAGGTGATTATTTTGATGCGCCGGAACGATATAGAAGATTGGTGGGACGACTTGTGTATTTGTCTATTACACGACCAGAACTCATGTACGTAGTACACGTTCTCGCTCAGTTTCTCCATCAGCCTCGGATCAAGCATTGGTTTGCGGCTCTGCGGGTGGTTCGTTACCTCAAGAGTTGCCCTGGACAAGGCATTTTACTCACTGCTAATGGGGATCTGCAACTCTCTGGTTACTGCGATTTCGATTGGTCTTCTTGCCCCATCTCTCGTCGTTCTCTTACTGGTTACTCGGTGTTACTCGGTGGTTCTCCAATTGCTTGGAAAACCAAGAAACAGGGTGTCGTGTCTAAATCTTCCGCGGAGGCAGAGTATAGAGCGATTTCCTTCACGGTTTCTGAACTCAAATGGCTCTCTAGCCTTCTCTCAGATTTTGGCATCACGTCAGAGGAGCCCATCAAGCTGTATTGTGACAATAAATTTGTACTTAACATCGCTGCAAACCCTGTGTTTCACGAACACCAAGCACATCGAACGTGATTGTCACTATATTCGCGACGAGATCCAGAATGGTTTGATCCAAACTGCATATATTCCTTCCAAATCTCAACTCGCGGACATCTTTACCAAGGCCCTCGGTTTGCAAGCGTTCGAGTTTCTGCGTGGCAAGTTGGACATTTGTGACCTTCATGCTCCAACTTGAGGGGGAGTATTAGGGATATATTGAATAGATTTGTAAATATTCCTTTTTTCATAAGTTTCCTTATTCTGTATGGTAGACTAGGGTTCTCTCACGCTTGTATATATAGCATCCAATGTATCTAATAAAGGGCAAACCGTTCTGTTCCAATCTTTACATTCACGGTTCTGATTGATAACATGCAAAATGATAGAATTTCTATTAAGTATTTTGCCAATCAATAAAAATTTATAAAATAAAAATAAATTAAAAAAAAAAATCTGAGTTTTAAAAAATTAAAAAAAATTACTAAGCACAAAAGTGAATTTAGAGTAGATTATTTTTATTTCACAACTTAGTTATATTTCCACTATTCCTCATTGTTACTAGTCAGAGTTATATTCTTTAATCTATTATGGTAAACTATTCTTTTTTGACTAAAAAAATTATTTTCTGTTAACTACAAGTTTGAAAAATTTATCACTGAAAATTTTTTTTTTGTTAAAATCATTTTTCCTGCACAATTAAATACACCGTCACCATTTATATTCATAGTTTAGGTTCGGTTCTAATTAATTATTAATTTTTAATATAAAGTCTCTCGCCGTTAACCGGAAGGGAATTACACCTGATATCTCTCTTTCTCTTCCTCGTTTTTTTTAATATAAAGCAGAAAAGAAAAGAAGAAAAGAAGAAGGAAAGGTTTCTTAGGGTTTCGATCGAAGCGGGAGAGGAAAATCCAGAGAGAAGCCATGGATGAAGCCTTGACGAACGCTTCTGCAATCGGTGACCAGCGTCAGAAGATCGAACAGTACAAACTCATCCTCTCGTCTGTTCTTTCCTCCAACGATCTTCTCCAAGCCAAACAGTTCATCGATCACAGTAAGTTTTCTCATCATCTTAACTCTTTCTCTTCGAAGTCGGAGTATGTCAGAGATTTTTCTGGTTCGATTTCTCGGCCTCGAATGATTTTTGTTCGGTGAACAATTTGTTTTTCCCAGTTTTATCCGATGATGTCCCGTTGGTGGTTTCGAGGCAGCTATTGCAATCTTTCGCACAAGAGCTAGAGAGATTGGAACCGGAGACGCAGAAGGACATCGCGCGTTATGCACTCGTTAAGATTCAGCCGAGAGTTGTTTCATTCGAGGAACAGGTTTGTTTTCACTCTTTTGACAAAATCGTGAATCTACAATACCTTATTGTTTTGTAGCTGTGATTCCTAAAGCCTAAGTAGTCTAATCTGCTTAGTCTTGAGTCGAAAAGTATTTAGAGACTGTGCTATTGTATCTCTTTGATGTTTGCTTTCTAAACTAGAAGTTATTATGAAATTTGTGGGTGTTTACTTACTGAGACAATGTACATTGTGTTGCTTTTACAATCTCTTTATCCTATGAGATGAAACTGTTTCGTTGTATCTGCAGGCGCTTGTTATCAGGGAAAAGCTTGCGGCCTTGTATGAATCAGAGCAGCAATGGTCTTTAGCTGCACAGATGTTGAGTGGCATTGATCTGGACTCTGGAATGAGGTGTGACAGAGAGCGGAAAATTCTTTTTTTTTTCCCTTTGTGTTCTTTTCAGTTGCTTATCTTGGATTTGTTGTGTTCTTTTCAGTTGCTTATCTTGGATTTGTTGTGTTCTCTATTAGGGGTGTTGACGACAACTTCAAGCTCTCAAAGTGTATCCAAATTGCTCGTTTGTACCTCGAGGTTTGGCTTTCCTTTCCATGTACATATGCAAAAAGGATTGTTTTGTGTCCTTTTCATTAATTTGGAAGCATGTAGATCGCATATCTCTATTTATGAGATGGATTTTCCACATGGTAGTAATGGATTATAGCTAATTGGTCTAGCTTCCCTATGTGTTAGAACACCTATACAAGTTACAGAAGTTAGGTCTTCAGATCTTAGAGGAAACCAGTTGTTGTTTCAAACTTCTAATAGTTGAAACTTAACTAGTCTCTTGACCGAATCTGTATGTCATGAAACTATTTAATATCGACTGTGTTAAAAGCATTGTTCTGGTTCACGATACCACTTGAATAGTAAATTGAGGCTACCAGGTTATATAATTATATCAGTTTCTTTTTTTCATTCTCTGATGCGTATTCTGTTTTGAATATCTGCAGGATGATGATGCTGTAAATGCAGAGACGTTTATAAATAAAGCTTCTTTCCTAGTGAGCAATAGTCAGAATGAAGTTTTGGATTTGCAGTACAAGGTTACCGCCGTAAACTTGGAATTTATGTTCTGGATGATTAAGGAACCTTCGATTTTGGGTAATAATATATTCTCCTTTTCAGGTCTGCTATGCTAGAATTTTGGACATGAAAAGAAAGTTCTTAGAGGCTGCACTTCGGTATTACGGCATTTCTCAGATTGAAAAACGACAAATAGGGGATGAGTAAGTGATGATTTCTCTGCATGCTATAACATTTTCAAATCTCTCATGTTCTGGTTTCATCCATCTGTGGACATCCCTTGTTAAAAGCTATTTCCTACTCTATAACCCCTCACAGTCTCCCTGTTCTCTCTCCGAAAAGTTTGTGATGTTATGTTGTTATTCTGAAACGTGTTCATCCTAATATTTCAGAGAGATTGATGAGAATGCATTAGAGCAGGCCCTATCTGCTGCTGTCACATGTACCATATTAGCTGGAGCCGGTCCTCAACGTTCTCGTGTCCTTGCCACTTTATATAAAGTAATGATTGTGGATTATTAATGGAAGGCCGTTTATTGCTTGCTTCCTTGTCTTTTTCATTTACCAATATCTCTTTATTAACAGGATGAGCGTTGCTCCAAGCTGAAGATTTATCCCATCTTGCAGAAGGTTCTATCCGTTTTTACCTACCATTCTTTCCTCTAGTAGACAATCATATATTTACATGAATTTGTACATAGATCGTAAGTTGCATTAGATTACTCTTGTTTAAGCCTGCATGATGTTTATTAGGTTCCGCTTATAAACAAATCAAAACAGTTTCACATAGCCTATAGAAACTTGGTCAAAATAACATGCCAACTCTAATATTCTTATGTAAATTTCTAGGTGTATCTGGAAAGGATTTTAAGGAAACCAGAGATTGATGCTTTTGCAGAAGAACTAAGGCCACATCAGGTATGGACTGTTAATTAAGTTGTAGATGTTGTATTTGCATATCAATCTGACTTTTAGGCTCACAAAGATTTTACCTTTTTGTTTTGCAACAGAAAGCATCTTTGCCTGACAAATCTACTGTTCTTGATCGTGCCATGATTGAGCATAACCTTCTAAGTGCAAGCAAACTTTACACAAACATAAGGTTTGAGATCTAGATTTAGTATCCTGTACCGTTACTTCATGTTTATGAGACTCGTATGATTTTTCTAAACATAAATTTTCCAATTTTTTTTGTATCTTAGGTTTGATGAATTGGGAACTCTGCTGGGGATTGATCCAAGAAAGGTAATATTCAAAAATCAATATGTGAATCCTCTTTATCCTTTTGCTTGTCCTGTGATTAAATGCATAAGCTCTTTTTCCTGAAGGCGGAGAAGATAGCATCTAATATGATCGGCCAAGACAGAATGAGAGGCTCCATTGATCAGGTAATAAGCAATGACAAATACTTTTGTTGGTTAGTTTTTATGTGAAGATAATTATTGTAAGTTTTTATTATTAAGAAGGTTCTTAGATGTGTTTTGATATGTTATGTTACTGTTCAGGAAGAGGCTGTGATACATTTTGAAGATGACATTGAAGAACTACAACAATGGGATCAACAGGTTCTCTCTCTCTCTTTCTCTCTCCTCTCTCTAGCACCTATATATGTTGTTTTTGTGGAATATGACTAAAAAAGTGGAAGCTGTGTGCAGATATCGGGATTATGCCAATCTCTCAACGATATTCTGGACGGAATGGCGAAGAAAGGTTTGGCTGTTCCTGTCTGATAGATTGATTCCAAGCCGTGAGATTCGAACTCGTGATGATAAATTAGCCGATGAGAGTCTCTCAAGCCTAAGTTTTTGCCAAATTGGTTTTGCAAATTTATGTCTATGCCTTTAGTTATACAACTGATACAAATGAAGGGAAAAAAGATTGGTCTCTAAATGACGATTTAAAAAAAAAAAAAAAGCATTCGCATTTTAATTACCTCAAAAGAGGTTCATGGTCTTTTTTTATCTTAGAGCAAATTATTTTATGCATATTTACCTTTCTAGTAAGCTAATTTCAGGTAACTTGGCATAAAGAGAACGATTATAATAGTACTTAACATATAACATTGGTCAGATTTTGTATGTTTCAGATTTGTTTTTTGATATAGATGTCTGTTTTTTTTAACTTTATTTCATTGAACGATCACAACTTTTCCAAACCTTGGACAAATGAGTCGTGAAGAAAATAGACGAATAGTCAAATTGCATGTAATATAGACGCATAGTCAAATCGGTTGCAACACTTAAACGATTGAAATCGAGACTTTGTTAAAAAAGTGAAAATTAAATTTCAAGGTTCCAAGTTGACTCCGCAGTTAATTTCGGCGTTTTTACTTCCTCTGCAAGATTCACAGACACACATACCTGTTAAAACAAGAAGAAAAGCCGATCAACCATCAAAAAATTCAGTGTCTCTATCCATTAACCTTTAAGAACTAGTTACTCGTTGCTCAAGAGAACGCAAATCCAAATTTCCAATATATGATTTGCCAATAAACAAAACAATCTAAAACCCCCCATGAATCATGCTTATGTCGATAAGCTATGAAACAGTTTCCTCTACCAAATCAAATGTACAAACTTTCAATTTAAGTCACTAATGTCAAATGAGCTGCAAAAACAACTTAAAAGATTTAACCTTCCTAAGATTTTGCCATAAGATATATACCAATATGGACTCTCGGTGCGGGTTTTGTAAACTATACAAATAAAGCAGACTGTAAAAATGCATTGGTTTTTACCTTGATAGATCCAGTAGATTTCGAGTTCCTTGACCATTCCATACCAAGCAACTTACTAGATGTCTGATAAGTTGCCTTGACAACATCGCCGCCATAAACTCTCCTAGAAACCGCGAAATCCCAAGTGTTTTTCGCCAAATCGTAGCACGGCTCGAACGTAGCTATACCTCCATGGTTATAAGTATACTTAAGCTTACAGTTGTTCGTGCCAACCATGTAATTAGCAGAGAGTTTGTTTGCAGAGTCAATCAAAAGGCTCCCATCGAGGATCGTCCTGTTATCTCCTCTGCTATGAATGTAAGTCAGATTCAATGGTTTCTCACCAATCCTTACTGAGTTCATGAACTGAAACCTAAAATCCTGTAATAAACCCACAAAAAAAGTACCAACTTTATCAATTCATGCAAAATACATCAGATTCTCAAACATGTTTCTCTCCTTCAATACTTATGGAATCTTAAAAGAGTCAAACTTTCTCGATAAGAACCAAACTTTCTCCAATATCAATTCCTGCAAATACAAATTCTCAAAATGTTTCTCTCCTTCAATACTTGTGTAATCTTAAAAGAGTCAAACTTTCTCTGAAGAACCAAACTTTCAGAAATTAAACTCATCGGAGCTAAAGATGTAAAAGAACCAAACTTTCTCTAATCAAAATCTGATTCAATTTAGGGTTTAATCTGAGAAAGCAAAAGAGCGAGTGGGTTACTTTCTTAGGGACGTTATAGTCGAAGATGAAGAAACCAGGCTTCTCGACGGAGAGAGAGAGGCCGTTTAAGGTAGGGCCAGAGACGAGAGTAGCATCGGTCATGGTGGCGCGTAGCTTAAGGTCGCCGGCGTTGAAGGCAAGGGAACCAACTCCGGTGGATTTCTCGGCATCGTACTTGCCTTTGAGAGAAGCCTTCATCGTTTCGCCGTTTGACACAATGTAGAGAGAGAGAGTTTGGTGAGAGAGAGATGGTTAAGAGAGAGGCGAAAGAGGAGACGATAATTGGCACGTGCGTGTGTGTTATACCCTTCTCCGCTGCGTGAGTTCTTCTTCGTTCGCACGTGCCGCACGTGCGCTCCTTTTTCTCTTTTGGTGTGTCCCTTCTCTGCAGAGCCGTGTACCTGTATATAAATTTTTTTTTTTGGAACAAAGGTACATGTATATCATGTATATGTGTTTTCTTTTGAACAAGTGTACATGTATATTTTTTTTTAACAAGTGTACATGTAAATGTTCATCATAAAGAGTATAAGAAAATGTAGTAACAATATTAGACAATACTTTAATTTGCAACCTCTTTTACATGAGACGTTTTGATTTGCACCCAATTGTGTAACATAAAAAAATCAATGATTATGAAAATCGTGCATTTATAGACAAGATAAATGATACAAAGAAAAAAGAAAAAAATCATTGCAATACCAAACTAAGATTTTATAACTTACGCAAATCTCACATTTTATTATTTATCCACAACATTAAAACCAAACTGAGTAATTACAAAGTTTAAGTTACAGAAATAAAAATAAATTACCACCTATACAAGTGGATCTCTCATAATAATGTCACACCACACTCAAACATGTATATATACATAAACAAACAAACAATCTCTCCACCAAATAGTCCAAGAAAGAAAAACAACTAAAAACACTCTAGAGAAACTATAATGTCGAAAAAGAAAGAAAGCATCGGACGACAGAGAATCCCGATGGTTAAGATTAAGAAAGAAAGCCACAGGCAAGTCACGTTCTCAAAACGTAGAGCCGGTCTTTTCAAGAAAGCTAGTGAGCTTTGCACGTTATGCGGTGCAGAAATCGCGATCATCGTGTTTTCTCCCGCTAAAAAGCCTTTCTCATTCGGACATCCGAGTGTGGAATCTGTATTGGACCGTTACATGTCCAGAAATAATATGTCCTTAGCTCACACGCAGCAACGTAACCCTGCGGCGAGCTGCGAGCTGAATATGAGGTTAACGCAAATCTTGAGCGAGTTAGAGGAAGAGAAGAAGAAGGGTCAAGCTATGGAAGAAATGAGAAGAGAGAATGCCAGGCGGTCGATGAACAATTGGTGGGAAGGTCCAGTGGAGGAGATGAATATGGTTCAATTACAGGAAATGAAACATGCGTTGGAGGAGTTGAGGAAGACAGTTGTGCTGGAGGCAAATACGGTGCCGTTTAATGAGGTGAAAGAGGATGTGTTTGGTTTCTTGGATATTAAAGTGAGGACGGCTCCTTCTTACATGAACATGTCTTCTGGTCTTTCTAATAATTATAATTTCGCCTATGGAAATGGTTGTTTTTGATTCAGGCATTTTTTTTTATGTTTTGGGAAGCAGTAGAGAAAAATGAATTAAGGAGCTAGTATCTTGCTAGCTGAGTTTTTTTTTGTTTTCCAGATAATTTTTGTTTCTTCGGCAACATTGATTATAGATGTTGCTATAACGGATAGAATAGATAGCTTAAAACTAAGACTTTAAAAGTAACGGATCAAATTTCAACCTCAACAAAAGGGTTTAAGGTCTGATACGACCAAATTCAGAACAAAAAAAAAATGATCTAGTTTGTTCTTGTATATGGATGCTAATCAAGATGCATATTAATTCAGATTTAGCATTAAGATTAAAGTGGGTTTTTTTTTGGTCGAACTGGTTTTTGTATCTAAATGTTGCATTTAGAATTTTAAATATATATTTTTCTTTGTGTGTTATATAAAATAAATCTGAAAATGTGATGTTTTTTCCTCTAAATTTGGATTTGGTATTTAAATGTTGCATTTTGAAGTTTCAGGAAATTTTGTTTTGCAAGTGTGTTGTAAAAAAAACTGAAATTTGGTTTGACCACGAAAATGATCGTGGCTAAACGATGATCGTTATAAGGCTTATTATTGGCCATGAATTGCTATTTTGCCACAGATTGGCAACTTTGGTTTCCGTGGTCATTTGACATGGCTGAGTCAAGATTCTTTGGAATCACACAGGACAAAAGTTTTTTGGACTCATAAATATAACATTTTAATTTTTATGTTAAGCTTTCTTTTAAAAAAATAATTTATTGTACATAATCTCCTATAATTACCCCATATACATTATTCTCCTATAATAGCTCTTGTATCAATTTGTATGTGATTTTGGCTGGTTCCTCTTCTTGCCTGATGCGCCTCCTCTTTCATGCGGCAGCATCTTCAATCGAATTAGTTCTCGTTTGGCTTCATACCTTTCGAGATTTCCAAATAAGACTTCACAACGTTAGGCAATTTATTTGGTCAAAAAGGATACACCTTCAACTATCTTTCAAGATTAAGCAAATACACATGCACACAAAGTTGGCTAAGAGTAGTAAATTGAGATTTTAAAGGGAACAAAAAGCTGTCTAATACATAAAACAACAAACAGAATCCAACGTTTCTTTTTTTGGGTTGCGACTAAAAAAACCTCTTCATCTCGCTGAAAGTAGTCTAAACAAAACTTCCTAGAGAGATAAACAAAAACAAGTTCCATCCCATAGATTAAGGAGAAAAGATTTGTCCTAAAAAAAACGAAATGTACAGTGAAACCTGAAGCCCAAAAGTGTATAGACATATCTTTAACCCTCCTCTTAATCCTCAATGGACTGAATCTCGCCCATCATTATCCTGTTACTAACCACGTTAAACCCAAGAACCGATGCGCTTAAGCTTACTTTCTTCCCTTTCTTCCCCTTTTTCTTTCCTCCAACTTTCGAGAACCCATCATTCGCAGGCGCAGTGTAATAGTCTTCTCCTGTGTTGTTTCGGGTCACGGCTCCAGACCCCTTTGATTGGAATGCAATCTCGACTACTTCTGATGGTAACAGGTCTTTGTAGTTGAGAAACTTGTCGATGAACTTGTGGTCTGGATCAAACGTCCCAAGGTTTTCTATCAAAAGGGTTTCGGCTTCTGATCGAGATAGCTTCAGACAAAATTCCAATACACTTGTATCTGACAAAAGGGATACACATCAAAAACAGAGTAAGCGTTTGGCCAAAATAAGAGAGAGAGAGAGACAATGTTCTTGCTCATATATGTTCTTCAAACCGTCCCAACTAGGTTACAAGACGATTCAAACACAGCACGGTTATGATAAACTAAAGTGTAATATTGAACTTTTTTACCTTCTGTACCAAGAAGTCTGAGACATTCGCCTCTGCACCAATCTCTGAAGCCATTCGCCTCTGGGAAACCACAAAACACATGAGAAAAAACACAAGCAATGACTTAGGACAGACAGAAATTGTCAGTAGAAAGCAAGCAAACCTGTGAGTTTTGTCGCTGCCTCCTTCTTCCCTTTATGGGACGCCTGAGTGACAACAGGTGAAGACAAAACCGGTTCTGCAGATCCGGTAGAAACTGATTTCTGTCGTGAACTTCCCGCGTTAACTTTCCCAGGAGTGTTTTTCGTTCCCCAACTGCTTTGACTTGTAAGATGAGGGAAATCTCCCCTGCTCGAAAATTACTCTCAGTTAGCCAGTTCCGTGAACGAATATAACATGATAGTAACATGCAAACTCATTTAGCATGTCCAGATTATAAGGGAAAGCTGCTCCTTGAATATACGTAGTGACAAAACATCAGATATAATAACTTGGAAACTCAAGGAACAAGTGCTAGAATCATACTGTTTTGATTCCTGGGTTGATTGCTCAACTGGACCCCAGAAAAGGTCATCATCTCCTTTGGATTTCGACTGAGAAATAGCCTGCGAAGGAGAAGATGCGGAGCGTGACCAGGAAGGTTGAGAAACAGCCGGTGGCGGATTAGATTTCTGGGTGGTTGGTACTGGACTAGGGGGCGGATGAGACGGGGTCGTCATCTTCTCCTGCTCCTTCACGATGTCCCTAAGTGAGCTAGGTTTAGTGGATTTCTTGGGAACAGTGGACCATGCAGCAGCTGGAGGAGGATTGTTCACAGTCTCTCCTTTCCAGAGAACAAAATCTCCCAAAGAAGGCCCAGAAGGAATAGCAGGCAAAACTTCCTTCTCCTGCTGTTGCACAGCACGATAACTTTTTCCTTTCTCAACGGAATTCGTCGAGAGTGATGAATCAACAGTAGGAGCAGGTGCAGTGGTTTTTGCTCCAGAATTCTTTGCTCTCGCAGACTTCTTGCGGCTCTTTTTTGATTCCTTGGCCTCAATAAAGTTATCATCATCTAAAGATTCTGCATTAGTGGGTGTTACTTGCATATATGTGTCGTTAGAAATGGTTTCCATTACTGCCCTCTCTTTGTCACTGGATTTGGCCACAACATCAGCAGCCACCACCGTGTCATACGAGTGGCTTTTCTTACCCTTAAGAAGAACATTTTCAGGCTTTACAACACCGGTTTGAGTATTAACTGCCTCTCCATGAGTCTCTCTTAGGATGTTAGGATCTGAATTGGCAACAATCCCAGCCCAAGGAGAGGCCAAACCCACTGAACTCACAGTAGTAGATACCTTTGGAGCTAAAGCTTCTGCTTGTGCTACCCTCTGTTCTTCCATTTGAATTTCTAGCAATGACTTTGGTTTAAAGCCAGGGGCAGGCTTCCAAGCTCGTCCCGGTTGCGTTCGTGTGTTTTGCACCGTAGACTCATTCACACCAGATTCTCCCCTGACTGAATCAGCTTCAGAACCCATTAAGGAGGTGTTCGAAGGTGTGGCGGTGGAGCTCTTAATGAGGTTAGGATCGTTGTCTATAAAAGTGTCAGCTGACTTTTTATTTTTACCCTTTATCTCAGAATCATCAGCAGTTCCTGTTTCAGGTTGCTTTGCCTTGACCAGGTCAGCAGACTGCTTGTTAGCCCGTTGCTTCTTGGACTTCTTTTCAGAAGTCTTCCGTCCTCCAGGCAATTCATTGTTTTTAACTTCAGTCGCAGGAATCTCTACAGGTAACTCATTAATGGGCTCTCCGTGTCCTGCATACACGTCCTTAGCCTGCTCTTCCAGCAACTTACTTTCAGATGTTGCGGGAGCTGCTATAGTAGGAGTGAGGCTTTCATTGTCTGGGTAGCTCGCAGGTTCTTCCACATTAAGTGTAGTATGATAACCAGGAGAAAGGATGGGCTTTTCTGAGTACAAGCTGTTCATGTAATCTGCAGAAATTGTTCTTTCATATTCTGATTTTAAATCTTTTTTATGGGTATCATTGATTTGATCCGTAAGAACTGTTCCCTCGCTCATCCTAGGGTCAACATTACCAAACAGCTGGTGTTGCAGGTGCAAAGGATGGGTTCCGAAGGTAGTGACATTCTGATTACTGGCATGAGGGTGCAAATCAGTTAAGTTGGCACCTCGCTCCTCATGGGAAACAGGAACCTGCATCTGCTGATTGACCTGCGTCATATCTTGTGATGCTTGCAGCCTAAGAGCATCAAAAGATTGCTGCAACTGCCCATAAGATGGCTCTCCAAACCTTTGCTGAGAACGCTGCTGATCAGCAAGAACTTGGGAAAACAGCTGCTGTTGCTGTCGTAACAACTGCTGCTGCTCTTCTTGTTTCTGTTGGTGTTTAAGCAAGAGCATTTTCTCAAGCAATAGACGCTGCTGCTGCGCAGAGAGGGGTGTCTGAGCATTTAACTGCAACAAGAGCTGTTGCTGCTGCAACAGATTGAGCGCTTGCTGTTCTTGAGAAAGTCCAGAGACGAGCATCATATCAGGGGGTAACATGCCAGCTGGATTATTTTCAATTGGTTGACCAAGTAAACCTGCCAAAGGTGAGTTCTGCTCTGGGAGCCTTTGCTGTTGGACACCAAAAGGAGTTTGAGTTTGGAAAGTTTTAGCATGGTGCACATCACCTTCCTTTTGACTGGAATGCGACCAAGCAGGGAGAGGACCACTAACGGCAGGAGAAGACCTATCCGTTGCACCTTGGAGGATGGACAACAAATCAGCACTTGGAGAACGGACAGGTTGTTGGGCATTTTCTGACACATTTTCTGATCCTGGCATCAGGTTTGCAGATTCCCGACCAGGCCAATATGAATATGGACTAGGCAGAGATCCTGATCGTTGCCGTTCAAGTTCCAGTTTCTTGGCCAAGAGATACATATCAGCCCCACCATCAGTAACTGGTAGAGACAACCCAGCAGAACTATTTACTGCATATCCTTGAACACCTGCAGACACAACATAGAAATAGAGAAAGTGAATAAAGTTACTTGTCCTGAGCGGCTAATAGGAAAACAAAATATATTATCAAAACATCAAAAGGCGAGCGCTAAGACTACCTTGAGATGAATTGTTCAAACTCCCAGACATCAACGATTCAATAAATCGATTCTCCGCTACAGTCCCTGCAACGTGCTTATACCTCATATCATTTTGCAACATATCAGCCTCACCCATCCCAGAATGAACCTTCCCCACACCAGGGAAGGTTGGTGTACCGGCCGCATCAATAAATTCGTTTGGTTTGGCACCGGTAAAACCAGGTGGAGGTCCCGACTTAGCCCGCAAATGCGGCATTACATCACCGAGTAACGAAAAAGGAGAATCGTTTGGTGCATTCGCAAGACGAACTAGCAAATCTATGCCAAAATATCCAGCCTCAAACCACCCAATGATATCAGTTCCAGAAAAGGGACCTTGAACTAGACCCTGAGGATCTTTATAATAGAGTGAAAGTTCTTCAGGCGAAGATGGCATAAGCTTTCTAACTTCCCGCTCCCTGTCGAACACCGCAGATGGCTGCCTTCTTAGTGCAGGATCTTCACTGATTTGCCATCTTGGATCCCCTTGGGACTGTTGCAAGCTCATCACATTGCCGCCTGAATGGTTTATTGAATCTTTGGGCTGTGACCAGACATTATCAGAAGATTTCAGCCTCATATCCGCTGAAGGGTCATTCCAATCATGTGAGATCCTACTCGACCTTTCTCCCACCGAAGGCTGACGCCATGGAGATTGAACATGATTATTTCCCTGCTGACCGAGTTCTTTCAGTTCTCTAACAGGCACCTCATTGCCTTTCCTAAAAGGAGCATAACCTTCAAGAGAAGCTGCAAAACATGACAGACAAGCCAATATTGTGAGAGGCTAATAGGGACAGAGTAAGAACTCGCATATTCATTAGAACAAATCTTAGAATTTTCACATTTGACAACACACTGCTCCAAGAATTTGAAAGTAGACGAGTTAAATTCAGTAACTTTTGAAACGGACACATCACTAATATCACGCCACAATATGTCAACACATACCTTCAGGCCTAAACTTATCATCTGGATAGATCCTTGTTTCTCCGCCTTCATCTTTAGATTCCTCAGCAGCGTAATTCATATCTTCCCTGCTTCCAGCTGCAACAAGGCATTCACAAATTTCACCATTTATATCATATACACAAAACACTAGAAGCCTGGATGTCTTTCACGGAAATTTTACCAGGCCTGATTCGCCTAGGTTGCGAAAACTCGGCTGGATTCCGTCCACTAGGGCCATCCTTGGATATCTGAGGGGCACCACTGCTCACTATTTTTCCTTTCTCAATTCCATCCAGAACAGTCTATATGAGGAACAACATGGGTATAATGATTAGAAAAATGGAGATACTATAGGAAGATGAAAAACACTAACTATATTAAAGAATTCTGACCACTTCTTCGGAACTTGGAGCGCAGATAGCCAGAGGATCCGACGGCTGCTCACACGTAAGGGAAGGCACCTCGATGAACCCATCTGGAAACTTTTCAAAACACTCTGTACCTGCCATCCTGTACACATCCAACAATTTCATTCTGCTATATCTCACATGGGAAGGCTCTCCAGGACCACTTTCCCCTTTTTCGGAGGCAGATCCAGGGGGGTGAGACTGGTTTGATGCGCTAGTAAAAAGGCCTCCACCAGGACTCATCCTTCCACGTCCAGCTGAAAAGATAGCAGTGTTGTCTCCACGCCCCCTGCTGTGAGAGAAAGGTGTAACCTGCTTGTTTGGAGTTGATTGGCTGTGAAGAGCTTCTCCTCTCCCTCGACCTTGAGAGGGTCTCCAGGGCCGGTAATGGTCTCCATCACCAGATGGAAGAGACGGACCCTTCTCACGAATGATTTCGCCATCTTTACCCGCTTCATCCCACTTATTACGGGTAATCTCACCTTCCTTATCATCAGGTCCCCAGCGAGAGTTCCACTTGCTCTCACGCCGCTGCTCTGTCCCAGCATCCTTGTTTCCTGAATCAACCCACCGGTCATTCGGAGCACGGCGTGGGTCCCCAAAGTGTCTCGGGGCAACATTATCCCACCGGTCAATCTTCTTATTATCACCAAAGTCTTTGTCGCCATTCCGCCAGCGATCTTTTCGAACTGTGGACAAGGTATCCCTTTCCTCATCACGCCAACGATCACGGCGGCCACTTTCTGCATCAAGTAAGGAAGGCCTGAAAACATCTTTTTTCTTCAGATTATCAGGTGTCTCCTCCCCATTTCCTGTCGATCTCACAGGATCCGAGTGGTTTCCATACGGATTATGCAGTGCCTGAGCTTCCTATAAAACCAGGTCACATGTTCAGCAAATATAAAACTGAAAGAAAGCAAAAAAATATACTGCAAGCACAAAGCAATATAAACACACCACAGTTCCCATTCCAGTCTTGTTCTCCCCTGGCTTGGAGAGAAGCCACTGAGGTGAAAGAGGAATAGCATTGTCAGAACCCTGGATATCTGCACAAATTAAGCCCAAAAAGTGTCACTCTAATCCTCTTTTATAGACACAGACACAGTAGAGGAACATCCTGTATTCAGGTTGTATCCATATAACAAGAGCTTTTATATGCCAACCAAATATCACAACATAAAAAACATAGATATACACAAGAATTTTTGTCCTGTATTCTGCACTAGTAATATGCCAAAAAACCGAAACCATGAACTACAAAATGTCTCACATAAATATTGAAACAATCCACAGCTTATGGATCTACAGAAGTAGTAAACACAAATCAAAACTTAGCACCGGTGGTCTGATATAAGAGATAATAAGCACAGAAGGTCATGGTACCATTAACAATCAGCTCTACAACAAAACGAGGTCAGTTCCCAAATTAAACCCCATGTTTGCTCTTAAGCCTATTTGGAATATCCATTTACAATCAAATGTGCAGATAGAACCAAGAGCGATCGAGAGATACGAAAAACCCTAATTAAAGGGGGACTCAAAAGAGTATAGACTCTGTAAAGCTAATATCAATCGAACGATTAAGCATCGAAGAAAGGAGCTGCAATCTCTCCGAAACAATTAGGGAGAATAAAGTACATAAACACAGGAGACTGAAATGGGAGACTCGAACACAATCCCAAAAATCATCGGGGAGCAAAGGAAAAAGAAGAAGAAGAGATAAATGGCGGAATAACCTTTGAAGATCTGGTGCGGTGGATTGATGGAGAGGTGCTTGTTGCGGTGGTCTGCGGCGGAATCAGCGGAGGAGTTAGCCATGGATGATTTCGTTCGGAGTTGCAGAGTTACAAAGAGAGAGAGAGAGAGAGAGACGAAGAGAGCGAGAGCGATTACGGTGAAGAGGAACGTAGGTTTAAAAGACTCCTCAACAAAGAGGAACGACTAAAAGACGGCGTACGTTTAGCTAGCAATTTCATATCCCGCGTACTTTAGCATCCTCCATTAAATCTATAGAAAAAAAGTAAATTTATTCTTTTTTTTTCTTTAGGTTAGACAGTTTCTCATAATTATCCACATCGTGTCTGGACTCACGCGCGTGTTTCGGATTTGGCGTCGAGTTTAGCTGTGACGTGGCGTGTACGCGCCGTGCAGTGAACGGGAAGAAGAAATGATGTTTATTTGTATTTGTCCTCTCGCTCACAACTTTTTACCGAGCTCTTGAGTTGCGAAGACTAGAGTGGCTGCGAACGAACAAACACAAAACCGAGAATTAAAGAAGCTGAACCGGATTTGGATTGGGTTTTGACTTTTACACTGGTTGGGATACATTACATGTGTGCTCGGTGTATATTTTTTGTGGTTATTAATGCCACGGTGTTACGACTTCTAACTTTAGTTTTAACTAGACTAGGAGAGAACCCGCGCGTATGCGCGGATCTTATTTTTAATTTCTATATTTTAAATATTTTTTATTAAATTTTATGTTTGCTATTAATATATTTTTGTCTAAAATATTTATATTTTCTTCGATTTCTTTTTGATGATACATTATATGTAATCTTTTTTACACCAGTTGTATTAAATAGTCTCATTTTTTCTTCGATCTTTATATTTTTTTTATTCTAATAAATCTTACTAATATAATACTTGTTAATTTCTTAATTTATCATTTGATTTTTTTTTTGGTTATATATATTTTATTGATTCCATCTTTTTTACTATTTAAAAAAAAACCATAGATAACATTTTTATGTGGATATCTTTCTTTTTACTATTATTTTTAATAACTTTTATCTTTTTAATCATTTATTAAATATGATTTGTGTTTTATAAGTTTATTAGTTGAATTTTTATATAATATTATTTGAAACTTTTAACTTATTTAGTCTCATAATTTTTTTTTCACTTGCATTAAAAATACATTAATTTTTTAGTCTATAAATAAATTTTAAAACATTTTTAAAAAATAGAGTTGTGCATTTAAAAAGTCTTGTATTATATAATATATATAAGTTTTTATATGTTTAAATTAAATTTGAATTTCATTCTAATATAAATATATATTAATATTTATTAATGTGCTTTAATGTGTTTTAATGTAATTTAAAATGTTTTAATATTTTTAATATGTTTTAATGTGTTTTAATTTGTTTGCTTTAAATATAATTAATTAATTATTTTATTAATGTTTTAAGATGACATGTGGCGCTCTCTCCAGCGCTGATGTGTCACTCAACTGGAGAGAGTTGGCCAAGTTTTATATATAAGATGAGTACCCGTCCGATGCGCGGCTTTATTTTTCAAATTATTTCATACATTTTACTGTTTTGTGGTTTTATTTTCTTTTTCATTTTGTATATATCATTGTTTTTATTCCCATTGTTTATATCTTTAGATAGACTAATAATACTTTTTTGTTTTGTTCTTTGTTATGTAACTGAAAGTTAAGATATACGTACATTGAGTTTTTTTTGTTCAGACTGTAAATGAATCATTAGATATAGAAGAATTATTGTCATCTACTGTGTTTTGTTTGTCTTTTTCTTCTTCTTTGAGGGTTTTAGTTAAGGTCGAAATAGCCAAATCAAATAATACTGCATATATATGCACATATAATTTTCAGCAACTCAGTCACCCTGCAAGGATCAAGTGACTACCCCTTCTTTATTTTGTTATCTTCTCAGTGATAAGAAAGTTATTAAGACAACATCACAACTGGTCAAAACTAATACGTTTGAAGAAGTCTTTCCTTTATACATTTCGAAGAGGTCTTTCCTTTACACGTTTATTACAAATTTTTGTAAAATAAGAAAACGTGATTTTTTTTCTACATTTACCAACACAAAGAAAAGAGACAAAATCACTAAAACGCAAGAAGGTGATAATTTGAGGATGTAACATTTTACCAGGGGAAGGATTTGTACATAGAGAGGTGTCTGAATTACCATACTACTAACACTTTTTCCAATGACTATGTGATTACACTAAACATAACTTCTTCCATGAGTGGATTTTTCTGATATGGAAGCTTCTTCGATCTAACGCTAATGCTGCCTCAATGTAAACAACCATTAGTTTCTAGTCAAAGACACCCAAATACTCAGGCAAATCTATATTAAAGACAGCAAATCCAAGATAATTAGTGAATTACTACCACTTCATAGCTTTTCTCTTTCCATACATAACTAAGAGCTTTTTAATGATGATGGTAATTCAAATTATTCCAATTGTTTATAACTCTAAATATTCCATACTACATCAAAACTCAAGCTATTAATGCATAGTAAAACGAGCAGAAATTGAGAGGATATACCAGTGTCTAGAGCCATAAGATTTGAGTGAAGACATGTCTCTAATAATAAACATAAGATTTATGAAACAATCATAGTGATGGTGAGATCTACTAAAGCACATTCAACAGCAAAATCCCTTGAAACAGAATTAGAGACGTAGCTGAATTCAAGGTTTTAGGAAGAAAACAATAGAAATCAAATGAGAAATGGACCATATATGTTAGAAGGAGATTGTTAGTGAGCATAGAGGACGTCTCAAACCGTGAGACCCAAACTTAGGCAAATGTGAGTTTTTTCGTTTGCCTTTTTAGTGGATACCTGATTTTTTCAACCTTTACTGTTTCCTCCTAATCCAGTACTAAAATTGATGTCTTCGTCCTACTCCAACACCGCCGAGCCACTGCTAGAAGCTGCCACCACAGTCATTGTTTTCCTCACAGCAAAGCTCCTTGTTTGGAACTGAAATAGATGAGCTTACTTAATAATCATTCAACTGAAATCAGATTCAAAGAAGGAAAGACTGGAATTTTTCAGGAAAGTAGGAAAAGCGACAATGGGGGAATGGCTTGAACACTCGCACATAGCCCTCTTTCTTTCTTTGCCTATCTAATCAGGTGGACTTGTCAAATTTTACAAACCTAAGATTTTGATGAAGAGAGAGATGAGAGAAGACCTGTATTATTTGTTAACCTCCCTACACGGCTACACGATTGAGAAGAACAAGAAGTCTCCATCTATATGGTGAATTCCTTCTCCTTCGATTCCAATCCCTTCATCAGTCGATCTAGGGTAGGTCAGATTTTTTTGGGAAAAGAAAAATCAGAAACATAGAAAATAAATAGACAATCTACAACTAACAGACCTTATCCATCACTCAAATCTGCAGGCTTTTAAGGTTTAGAAGATTGATCCATTTTATATACAGTTACAAATTACGAAGCCAAACATTGTAATGATTAGTGCTTTTGAATGATTCTACCTAGAACTGTCTACAATTGAGAAACTGCCATTAAGGTTCAGACAATCGAAAGCTGAATTTTGAAGACGCAAGAAATTTTAAATCGAAATACAATTCAGGGAATGGGAGAAAGACCTGACGCCTTCGATCTAAGGAGACATACGCTTGATGTTAATAATTATCATCAAATACCGATCCATCTCTTAGCTTGGTCAACTGCTTTGACTATAAAATTAGCGAGAATCAAAAAAATCTAACAGAGAAAAGTAAAGTGTGGTGTTAATAATTACCAACTGGAAATCATTTCGGTGTTCCTCCTCCATCGATCACTGATTGTCGAGATGTTCACCAGGCGGCAACGGCTATATTCTTGGTGTGGAGCGTGAAAGGATGGTGGGGTTTTGGAGGATGAACACTTTACACAAACAAACAATCAGATGCGAGGATCTATAGATCGATCGACCCAATATGAAAATTAAAAAACGATGAACAAAGTAAAATAAATGGAAAAGAGAAGGAAGGAAAGATATGGAGTTCGGGAATCACCTGAAGAAGAAACCACGCGAAGGAAGAGGACAACGCCCAAGTGCAGAAAGATTTTTATATTCCTAAGCAACTAAAACGACGGGAGACGATGAGTTTCATTTGTTTCCAAATTGTAACGTCACAGAGAATAAGAAACGACGAGAATGTTGCTCTTTTTTTTAAAAGGTGGACACGTGTCACTCTCACAGATGCTGACGTGTCGAAAATCTGGAGAGAGTTCTTCCTCTTTTATATATAAGATGTTGAATCAAAAGTGATAGAACTCAAGATAAATTGATAATGTTTCATGGATGACCATTTTTTCCAACTTTCTAGGTTTCTTCTTCAATTTTGCCCCATAATTTTCATACTTTGAGATCTATATTTTTGATGTAGATTATTTTAATTTCTTAAAGCACCTTAAAATGTCAACCATACATGTCAACACAAAAAAATTTATGTTTTAAAGAAATTTTACTTTTAAGAAATAGAAAATAATCATATTGAATTGGATACCAAAACATTTAACAAGAAATTCAAAGATTGGTGCAAGCTTTTCTGAAAATTAGGAAATTAACAAATTTGGTAGGATTTATTATAATGTAGTTTTGTATGAACTGTTTTTCTATTTTATTTAAATGCTTAAGATAATGTTTGAAATGTATCAAAATCTTATCGATTATTCAACATGTGTCACATTTATGTTAAATAATAATTGACACGTATCAAATTCTAGTAAAAAGTTGAAAAAATACAAATTTTTTTATATAGAGATGAACAATTAAATACAATAAGGATTTGATAATATGTTTTCTTGATTTTTTACTTTTATTTCCGATTTTTTTTTCTTTTTAATTATTAATTAAATATTAAAGAGCTATCCTCTTCAAATTTAGTTTTTATAGATTTTCTGATTTTTATTTTCTTCTCGGTGATATTTTAATCAAATCAATTAGTAGAAATGGAAAAAAAAAATTGAACAAAGCAAAAACAAACCGAATTCAAACTAATCCCAGACCAAAACAAAGTCTATAACCAACCATTGATTGAGTTTTTTTTCAACTTATAAACAAACTAATATGTTTATTGAAAATAATTTAATTGATAATATTATAATTTAATATT